TGGGGATGTGCCCACAACCAAGGTATATGCCCTTGACCGGAATCGAACCTGGGACCCTTGAGTCCGCAGGCCGATGCTCTATCCACTGAGCCAAACCAGTTAGGGCTAGTTATATAGATCTTTGTGAGGGAGGTCAGCGTCCCTACCCCCAGGTTGTTCAAATGTCAACTGTAGTTTGTTGTCAAGTTCTTGGCATGGTAAATAAAATTGTGGAATCCCACTCTCAGACTTACTTTTCTTGGAGTTCTTAGAAAAGGGCAAAAAGTCAGCTCTTAGGATGGTTTATAGATGCAGCTACCTGGTGGTCTCTCAAGTTTCCTCCTATTGCAAAAAGTAAATTATTTTATTCCCAGAATGTGAAGAATGGTCGGATGGATAAAATATCAGTGGAAGAGGAAATGAGATATAACAACAAAATTGGACTGTGGGGAAGGAGAGAGGAAAATCTAAACTCTTACAATAAGAGATTTCCTTTAACACACATCTGTTGATTGTCATCCAGTTTACCCCCTTGTAACTGGTTCTCCCCTGAAGAGAGGGTGCAACCTGAAAGAGTGTTCTCCCAGCATCTGTATTTGTGGAATTTGGTCCTGTTTTTATAGGCATAGCTGATCGTTCCAGGGGGGACATCCCAACTCAGGCTATGCTGAAGGCTGTTCCCTGGTAATTTGAAATGAAAACTGAGGGACTAGAGGAGTAGATGGCAACATACAAATTTACAAGATGTTTACGGCTGTGTATTCTGTTACATAAGCTGCAAAGAAGAAAAAACAGGTTCAGAGAGAAAGTATAGGATGAAGCAGATGCATAGAGAGGAGTTGAAATGGGAGGTTAATTTTGAGAATAGTACCTTCTGTCTTTTCCTGAGGTGACTGCGTTCTTGCCCTTGGGTTCCATGGAGCACTGCTGTATCCTATAGTATAGTGCTGCTGTGTCCTACTTAAGCTAGCTCCAGTGGGTTTCTAAGTGTTCTAACTTATATACTTTTTCAGAACTGACCAAAATGATGTCCAACCTGCTAAAAGCCTCTTCCATTTCCTTTAGTCGTACAAAATTGACTCTGTTGCCTCCATATTCATCTTGAATGAATGCTCAGAAGGGACTTTCTGACTTACGTCCTGGCTCATCACTTATTAATTGTGTGATCAACTTGTTCACCCTTTGCCTACCTTTATTGGCATGCTGCTCTCCTTCCAAGCTCTCCTCAGAGAGAAGGGGTGGTGTAGTCAAGAGAAATTGACTTGCCTTACAAAATTGACTCTGTTGCCTCCATATTCATCTTGAATGAATGCTCAGAAGGGACTTTCTGACTTACGTCCTGGCTCATCACTTATTAATTGTGTGATCAACTTGTTCACCCTTTGCCTACCTTTATTGGCATGCTGCTCTCCTTCCAAGCTCTCCTCAGAGAGAAGGGGTGGTGTAGTCAAGAGAAATTGACTTCCAAGAGAAAGCAGTTCTAGTCCTAGTCTGTGGTGCCTGGAGCTTCAGACACTGTAAAACTAAA